GCCTGCTCGTCGGTGAACTTTTCCACATTCTGCATTTGCAGCACACGGAACCACAGACCCACAAAAACACTCATGAGCAGCACCACCGCACCACCGCACCACTGGCAATCGAGAAGCCCCTGCTCGCACCACCGCCGCCCACTTTCAAATAATCATAAAAGAACGACGCTGGAAATTTATTAAGAAACTTGGGCACTAAAAATAGTTTCTAACAACGCAGCATTGGGGGCTGGTTGGGTTTTTCCAAAAGAAGGGGGGTTTTGGAAAATATTACGACCAGCCTTCCAATTTGCTGACGAATGCCCTTTGTCATGGGAAGGTCAGGTCAAAATAGCAGGCCGAAATAAAAGCAATCTGAATTTCAAAATCAATCAACAGTTTTTGCATTGCCTTAATTGCTGATCGAATGTGCGGAGGATTCAAAGTGCAACATTTTCACTGGCGGAGATTTTTAATTGAAATCTCCCAAAAAGTGGCATAAAGTTTACAGAGTATCGCAGAATCTCAGCAGACATTTAACTTTGGTTAATTGGTAAATGAAATATATACATATATATATAAAGCAATAGGTTTTTAATATATTTCATGGTTTAAGAGCATCCAAGTCTTACTTAAAAATTCGAAGAAATTCAAAGTTTCGATGAAATCGCACCAGAAAAATATGAAACTGAGGTACTGATAATTGAATGAGCATCATGGGTCTCAACTCACAGTGCAGCATTCGATTTCTAAAGTAGAGTAAAATCGATAATTTGCGTTCAACATAAATGCCTACTGCTTGTGGCAGGCTTCTTTCAACATGTTCGTGCGATTCATGTATCACTCAGAATTTCAGAATTTAGCAAGGGAAATTACCAGATTTTTCCTCAACCATTTCATTTTTTGTTTGCTTTTCTTTTTTCTTTTTGTGAAGTGAAATGAAATGTTTTTGGGCACTGCCCAACGTGGTTAGGCACGTTCATTAACCCTTGCCTTTTACTTTTCTTGGCCATTGTCCTGCTGGTTTGGGCCCCTTCCTTTTCCTATTTCCTATTTGGGTTCGGCTTCAGCGGCCTGTGAAATTCCTTTAATGGCATAAACGGGTTAAGCATTTTGGTGACGTAAATATGAACAGCAATAACAACATCGCCTGAGTTCCGAGTCCTGGCCAGAGTGTCCTGCCTGTCGGACATTGTCTGGTTTATCCTGCTGCCCATAAGCCTCCTTCTGCCAGCCGTCGTCGAGCTTTAAAGCCTGAATTTCAGTTATGAGCAGAACGTGAGTCTCTGGCACACACATATGCACATGCAAGCACACGTACATAGTGGCACATCCTGCCACACCTACACACACACACCCACACACTTCTTGGGCTGGGACACACTCGCTCTGCATGTGTGTGCATTGGGCATTTTTCAAAATGGCAAACAAAGCGCGCGTGACAGGAAAAAACGGCCAGCAAATCGTTCACTCAGCCTCAGAAAAACCCAAAATCCATTTCCCTCACTCACTCACTCACACACACACACACACACACACACTGGAGACTTTCCTTTTGTTTCAGGGTGTCTGTGTGTGGGTGTGCGCGCGAGTGTGTTTGCCAGTGTATGTGTGGCAGACAGTTTGCCAGGCATTTGCTTAATTTAATTTTGCCTGCCTCAACGGCTGCTGCTTCGGCTCTTCTCCCTTTCTGCCCACTTTTCACTTCATTTTGTTCCGAATTTAAGCTCTCCCAAGCCCTGGTAGATTTCTCTCGGTGTACGCTCCAGTGGCTTTCTTGACTTGCAGTTTGTTTTCTTAAAATTTTGCAATTAATCAACTTAACGTGTCCAAACGGGGAATCCATCTCTGAGCTCTTTAAGCTCACCAAAAGCCTTCGAACTGCAGGCACTGAGCAAATATACTCAAGCAAAATCAACAGCAAAATTCAATTGGGTTCAAGAGGTTGGGTTATTATGTTGCCACTCATCATTTCACCTTTGGCTGTATTTTAATCGAAAGTATCATAAAATTGACTATTTAATTCAGGGATTGAAGTACAAATCCTGCTAAGCATTTTATTTGAATTTCTATTCAACGTATTTTTCGACACCAAAGTAATTGAAATTAAATCAAAACTGGACTAGAAACCAGAACAGCAGCTAGTTTGATATGATATTTTTGATTGAAGGAGGGCACTTTCCACTTGGTGCACTTTCGGATGAGCGGAGATCCTTGCAGCTACATACGAGTATGTGTGAGTGCCATCGCTCATCCCGTGTAATCGAAGGGGACGAGGGACGGAAAAGCCCCTTAAACACCCAGCCCACTGACACCACTCACTCTTTGCGAAAGTTGAAGGCCACAGACAGAGAAGGTGACAATTGTTCATTTGTTTGGTCCTTTGTTTATCGCCAAACAGTTGACAGCTCTGCAGCTTTGTGGGCCAGAAGCAAATGGAAATGGGAAATTAAGAGGGCGGGAAATGGGAAAACTGGGGAAACACATATATGTGCACATGACGGCTGCTTTCTTTTCGAAATTTCAGTGGCTGACACGCTGCTTACGCACAGGTACTCTACGTTGCAACAACTAAGCGATTTTGTATACTATTATTAAGTTCATTACAAATGAAGACCGTGTTTATATAGTTGTCCTGCAAACTCTAGCAAAATAAGGGCTCTTCAAATGCGGTATGGAGAACTAAGGAAACCGAACTGCAAGATGACCATTATTATAAATGCATTTAATGAATCAAATATGTGTAATATATGCACATGCTTTCACATCGCCATTTGTTGGTTGAAGTTTTTCATTTTAACTAACACAACTTTATATTCCTGCTGTGCTGCATTCAGTTCTTCAGTCTCCAGTGGAATTTACAGGACCGTGCAAGATACCAATTAAATTGAAATAAAACCCATATCAACACTTCCGTGCATTTAGATTTCCAATTCCGTTGGCTGGCTTTTTAAGCAGAACAGAGAGCTGGTGCTACAATTTTTGTCATTTGTGACTGGCGATTGAGTTCCGCTCCCTGGGATGCCAGGGCACTTTGGCACTGTGGTCAACACAATCAGGATGCAGTCATCGCCAGTTGGCACTCCATTCCTCAGCCACTCCTTTTCACCTTCTCTCTCTGCCTGGATTTCTCTGAATTTCCCGCACACGTATAGAGCTGCTCCAGCTGACATAACTCCAAATGCACTTGCTGACAGTCATTGAAAACACAAACTGTAGATTATGCCACTGCCAGGATCCTCTAGGTCGGTCTTCCTGCCTCGTCCTTGCTTTCCTCAAGGCATCCTGGCATCCTGGCAACCTGGCAACCTGCAACACGGCAACCTGGCATCCTAGCACTTGTTATAAATCACAAAACAAGTAAAACAAAAAAGAAAAAATCGAAAATTATCTAACGAAATGCCACTGAAGAGCGAGAGCAAGAGCATTGCAAAAACTCAAAAACCAAAAATATACACTACGTTGCCTGTCTCTTCTCTTGGCTTAAATGTGCAGCATTGCAGAAAATATTTCGGCCAAAATGCTGAGGCTGAGCTGCGGCCCATCCTCCATTTGGACCATTCACCTTTTTGCCGGTCAGTTTGGCAGTTGGTAATGCGGTCAGTATGTGTTTGCTCGCATGTGTGTGTGTGTGTGTGCCTCTATGTGTGTGTGTGTGTGTGGACCGCTCTCTTATGCTGTTTATAAACGTAACAATGACCGCATTCTTGTTTTTGCTACTGAGCCGCCCCCGAGCCACAGGACCTCCCACTTTTCCACTTTCTCATTTCACATTTCAGCGAAAAGTGCAGCAACAAAGTTAAAGTTTTCCCCCACCCCCCCTCTCTCTCTCTCTCTCTCTCTGTCTCTTTTGCTATTGACAACTGTGCGGCTTTGGTGCCAAAAAGAAAAGGCGGAAAAGGGTATCCTTGCACAGATACACGCCCCACCGCCACCTTGCAACACCCACACAACCACACACACACAAATGAGCAGCAGGAGGAAAACGCCGCGAGCTCTTTACGCGGCCACAGTGACTGCGAAAAAAACATTCCACTGCGCCAAGCAAACAGCCACCGGCAATTGGCTGAAACGCTGAGCCGAGCCGAGCTGAACCAAAACTGAGCCCAGTTAAGAGGCGTTCTGAAATGCTTTGGTTAGGTTTCCTCTGGGTTTCGGTTTGGTTTGGGTTTGGGTTTGGGTTTGGGCCTGGGCCTGGGCTTGAGGTCGTCTCGCCGCATTAAAACAAATAAAATCAAATAAACGTTTATTGCACTGAAATGTTTACGAGGCCACAACAACAGCAGCAACAACATCAGCGGGAGGAACAACAAACTGACAGCCATGGCAGTGAAATTCTGGCAATTTAATCAGCCCAGCAGCGAAATGATGAACAAGCGGCCACAGCGACTTTGTTTGGTCAACACTGGCCATGGATTTCTGGCCAGGAATGGCGCCAAAAGCGGCCCACTGCATGGGCATTTTTTTTCACTGACCTGCTCTCCAGTTGTATTTCTTCCGGTCGTCGGTCGTCCATCACTGGCTTCACTGTGAACTGGCCAAACTTTTGTTTAGCGCTGGCCACAAATGGATTCTCGCAATTATTAAAAGCCTTTTAGTAGGTTAATTTCGTGCAAATACGCGACTAGTGTGACCAAGGGATCGAAACTATGTATATCGATAGTTCATTGGCATTTTTTAGATTGCTGCACTTATCGCAAAAGCTATCATCGCAATTAAAAACTGAATACTATAATTATTATAAATAAATAAGCAATTAATATTATTATATTAGTATTATCTGCTGAAGCTAGCAGTTTCCAGTGTCGCAAATTGCAAAATAATATGCATTAGAAGAACTAATACTTATTACGCCAGCCGAGCATCATAAGATCATATTGGAGTCTAGCTAGGGCTGCAATTTGCAGACATCAGAACCTTAGCAACCCTTTTTTGCTACTGTCAAATGTCAAAAAAGAAAACTGAGAGGAAGGCAATGACTTTGCAGTCTACCAGGCCTCTTTCTGATTTGCCGTGAGGACTTCAGTTGATTCACATCTCCGAGCTGATATCACTACTACTACAAACTACTTGCTAATTTTTCGAAGGTGAAAAGTTAGGCAACATTTTTTTTAACACACTACACCTCCAAGTGGCCAGGTATTCCAAACGAAGCAATGGACGCGAACAAGCTGAAGAAAGTGGAGGAGGCGGTGCGCATCGGTGGCAGGGGATCGGTGCGCCGCAAGCACAAGAACGTCCCATCTTCGGCTGCGGTCGATGAGAAGCGTCTGCAGACCACTTTGGCCAAGTTACCGTTGACCCAGGTCAACGGGATCCAGGAGGTGGCCATCGAGTTTACCGACTCCAGTGAGCTGGTGATAGCCGTGCCCAAGGTTCAGGGCACCACTTCCAGTAACTTGTTCGTGATTACCGGCGAGCTTGTGCGCAAGTCGTCACCAGCTGGTCCACTGAAAGTGGCCAAGGCATCCAATTTGGAAGCGGATTCTGCCGATAAGCCAGAATCGCAGGAGTCCGACAATGTGGTGGCCCAGAAGGCCAAGAAGCCCAAGAAGCCACGCATTCGCTTTCGTTTGCGCAACAAGAAGTTCCAAATGATGCTCGCTGAAGAGAATAAGGCATCATCCGAGCTGAAGGATCAGGATCCCATGGCTGGCGGGGATTCGGAGCCGAAGCTAAGCGTTGCTGAATCAATACAGAACTCTTCCGAAGATGCTGACGATTCCAATAATGACGAGGTGGCATTGGGTGCTTCTGATGTCTATAAGATCATCGTCGGCGACGAAGATTCATTGGGTAGCTTGGACGACGATTCCGACAGCAAGAATGAAAGCGACGACAAGGAGTGGAACAATCTATCTTTCTACTCCGATGGCTATGATTCCCAGGCGGAGCAGCCCAATCCGAGGACTTCTCGCGATCGTGTCTTCGAGGACGAGGATTAGACATCTCTACATTCACATACCTTGCTTCCTTTTTACCAATATGATAAATAAAATGCATTATCTCAACATTTATTTGGGACTCGTAATAAAACATACATTGTACCTAAAATTGGCATTCTATGTGCAACTTACAATAACATGCTTTCTTACGTTTCTCACGTTGCTACGTAACGACTTGCGTTGCGTTACGTTTTTGTCAGTCATTTTTTGTTGTCCTCTTTCACACAGTATTCGCTAGAGTTGTCAAGCTCATTTAGAGAAATGGCCAAAGAATGATTAATCAGCTAAAACACTGTTAGTGTTATAAGTCACAAAACAGGGCGCAAAAGCCAAAAATCGTTCCTTCAAATTAATAAATCATTTCAATCGGCCACTTACAAGCAAATATTCGTGTTTTTCTTTTGTATTGATTTTCTTAACCGATTTCAACCGATTGTGTTTTAGTGTTGATGAAGATATTTTGAATTTTCAGACTTTTAATAACGGCGCTTTAATGATTCAAATTTGAGTTATGTTTTATTTAAATGCTGATCTGATATTAAATGCGGTTAATAATATTCTTGCAAGCCTATAGATAAAGACATTTGATATTCCGAATGCTTTTCGTGCCGCATTTCTTGATCGCATTAAACAAGAAATCCACGCAAAATTCATTTAGCAAACGTCTTAGCGGAAATGCCACGCCCCTACTTTCGTTTGCTGGCGGAAGGGGGAGGGCGGCGAAAACTAATCTGCGTCTCGAAAAATGTACGAAATTAATCTGCACATAAATTAGGCATTAAAATTTAATATATTTGTTTATGGAGCCTCAAACTGAGATGGTGTTGCTGCGTGTGAGGGGGGCGGCCCCCACGAGGGGGCGTGCCGGATGTGCTGAATATGTGGAACGTGGCATGTGTGTATTGTATGTATGTATAGATGTATGGTGTATGGCGTATGGCGTATGGTGTATGGTGTGTGTTCTTAGTGGTAATAAATAAATAGCAAAAAGGTAATAAAACAGATAGCGAAAGAGGAAAAAACGGGAAAACATCCCAGAGGGATGTGGAATCTGCCAACTGGTTGCCCATTATCGTATTAGCACATGCCACCAGTGATTATTATGAGGTGTCCTCCCTCTGGAGCAGAGTCCTGCCACAGCTCCTTTTCCTGCTCCTTTTCCTGCTCCTGCTCCCTCTTATCCTTTGTCTATGCATGCGTGTATAATTAATTTTGCACCCCTGTTGGTATCCACATCCCCCATGATCAGCAACCAAGCTCTTGCTCTCGCTCCCGTTTTTGCTTTTGTTTTGCGTTTGCTATTCCCCCTTTGCTCTCGGGTCAACAATGGATGGCCTTCATGCCAACTGGGAGCCAGCACTCTGGCAAAACTGGTACCCAGTTCCCCCAATCGGGGAATCGGGCCAAATCGGGGCGGGCTTATGGGCTGTCGACAGACAGTACTGATATCCCCTTTCCGGACGTGGAAGGGGCAGCTGCACTTTAATTTCCCAAAAGATTCCCCACAATGCATACGCTTTGTTAAGAACTAATTGGCTGCGGCTAGCAGTGATTAATCCGCACATTGTACGACTGCCAACTGTGGGCCTCACAGGTCCAAAAAGGTGGGATTACATGGGCGAAGTGGAGAGTCTCGTTATTGTTTTCGTATTACCTAGAAAATTTAAATTTTAAGAAATTTGAATTTTGAGCAGCTCGGTTCAGTCTTTCAAACAAATTCTGCAAGATCTTCCCCTTCATTATACATACTCGTATGTACATATGTGATTTCAATAAATATTATTTCGATTTCAATAATATTAATAATTCGAACGAAAACTTTACATTTCACATAGCAGCTCCTCGTCCTTGATGGGTTTTTAAAAGAACATTCAGACAAGCCAGCAAAACAGAAGTATAAAAACGTAGAGACCCATAGAAAATGATGACAGCTTAAAAATGTCCAGTCATTTTTATTTGATATTTTTATGGTATATAGCATTTCTGTTGGTCTGAACTGGAGCTTCCAAGAGCTTATTGTTGGATTTCACTGGTGTCCAAAAGGTACTTGATTCTCTCGGAAAGTCTTAGCTGATGCCATTCCACCAAGTGGCTAACTTTACCTTGGTATGTAATGTGAGTGTTCTTCAAACAAAAGAAAGAAATGAAAAAAACAAAAAAGAAGCAATGGAAAGACGTTCAAATGGTATTTGGATTATATCCCCCGCGTTTTCTCTCTTTGTTCTTGATGAACTCTGGGAATAGTGGCGCTTATGAAGGTTGTCATTTCGATTTGATGACTATTGTCGAACATTATCTAACATAATTCATAAAAGAGTGCCCTATCCAGTTGATGCGGCGAATGGAAGATGGATGAAGATGAATGGGCCATAAGAACATCTCATTAGGCTGAGTGAAAAATAGACCTATCCAAAACATCAACTGGAATCGATTCCAGAGTGTTGTGGGCGGTGTGCATACGGGTATATTGTCGCCACTTTTGTTTGGACTCCAATGAAATACGCATTATTTGGTAGCTGTCTGGCAGGCAGCGTGAATTTAATATCTGGCAACAAAATTTCCCCTCCTCTGGCTTTTCCTGATGGCTCCTTGGTCGTGGTCTTCGCTTGTCATCCGCAAACGATGCCATTCATTTTAAGTCACATGTGTCGCCCGGGCATATGGCCACATCCTGGGCAAACCGATTCGAGGACATTGTATTGCGGTCGACTATCCCTGTACCCAACTCTCGGCTTAAGTGTTTATTAATATCGAATCGTGCGAACCCGGACATGTGTTGGCCCCCTAAATTGACTTTGCCGTAACTGATAAGGTCCCATTCGCCAAAGACGCAGCCTGTAGTTATTGTAACAAGCCATTTGCGATTGTTATCGAGCTTTTGCGAGGACAACAGCTGGTCACACTATACGCACGTATCGCAGCCAGGATTCAAAAGAAGTCCTTGCACACAGCAAGGATTCGATTCGATTCAATTTGATTTGCTTTGCCTTAACTCTGGTCGAAGAACAATTGCGAACTAAGAACTGCGATGCTCTTGAAACGGCAATTATGAACTGCGCCCTTCTCCGCGCTTCTCACAATATCCAAGTAGGTGACGCGGTCAGCAGCTGGCGAGATGTTTACAATAGCAGGAGGGGTAAAAGTTCGCCCTCGGTGCTCTTCAATTATTGTAATCTATTTTAAGGGGCTCTTATATCAATATTTTCGATTCGCTTTCGAAAAGAGTTCTCAGCAGAGTTCTTCTGCATCGCTTGTTCCTTTTTCCAAGCCCCCTATCCCAATGCCAAATTCACATTCCTTGTCCTTGCCAAAATTCTTTGCTTAACTTTTGCCTCCAGTGTCTGCGAAACGAGCTAACCTGGCCCAAAAATACTATACTGCAGGATGCTTTCAGGCCTTGGCAACCCTCGGTTGGGCATACTCACACACACTCACACTCACACACACACACATACACTCGAATGCAAGAACACGTTCTCGTTCCGCTGGGTAATGTCTTTATATTTGAAATTGCTTTGCTATTAAAACAAAATAAACGACGCGACGCGCAACTTATAAATTTTGTTTGAAAATCAAGTGAAATAAATGCAGTGGCAGAAGTAAGGCGCTGAAGGGGTGGGGTTTGCTCCTTTTTTTAAAATTTTTTTGGGGAAAATCTGTACCGGAGTGGAAAAACAGAATCAAGAAACCAAGAAAAGAAGAAAAGAAGCGAGGCGAAAACAAAAGCGCAAGACAAACACGAGATATATACCCTGAAAAAAGGGTGAGGAGTTGGGGCAATAAATTTAACTTTTAGCCGGGCATGTGTGAGTGAGCACACACACATACCCACATACACACATTCACTCACACGAAAAACACATGACCATAAATAGCAGTGGAAGAAAAACCTTTGCCATTTCCCTTCGCAAAGAGGTCCTTTTCGGCGGTTGCGACTTTTAATTTTATTGCCAAGGTCCGACGGGCTGGAGAACACACACCTTGCCCATTTCCGTCCACTAAAATGTTGGCCAATTGTCTGCTGTTGGCTGTTGGGGTCAGCTAATAATTGGCTGACGACTGACTCTTCATATATCACCGACGCCCTAAGGTAGTTGATTCCAGTAAATAATTGCCTACCCACATAAGTGTGCTATGGAAAATATACGAGCAGTTTCCCAATTGATTTCGCGTCTCCTAATGAAAATATGTCAACTCAGTCGGGCTGCGTGTATGCCGCCTGCCACTACTGTATGCTACTCTCTTCTTCGATATCCACCATTTTTCATTTTAATTTTAACATTAATTTTCAATTCAATTTCGCTGCTCATTGTCATCAATTGAAGGCAGCAGCTTGATCCTGCCACGAGTTTGTCATTGATGAATGCCTCGCTCTTGGACTAAGAAAAGTTTCTCATTTATTTCCTGTTCGTTCACGTTGGTATTTGATTTTTATTTATTGCGTATTTTTCTAAGGCTTTGAATTCTAAGGTTGCCTTTTAATAACAGAAAACTCGCATAATTTCGCCCCAAACTTTCTCCCCAAGCTGATTAGCCCTCTTGCGGTGGCAAAAGTTGAGTTCTCAATGTGGATGGGTCTCCCTCCACCCGTTTCCTTTTTGGCTTTTGATTTGTGTGTGCGTTATGTAAATTCATTAAGCTGCTGCCTAAGCTGCTGCGGCTTAGTAGCCCCACCTGTACAGCATGTGCCACGCCGCCCTACGCCCAACGCCCACCACCCACCGACAAAAGGCCAAACAAACAAATTGATAGCCAGACTTTTGCTCAGTCGACTTTAGCCTTGCACTGACAATGCCGTGGAAAGTTTTCATTATGCATGTGCGCCAAAAACTTGGCAAACAAAGAAGGCGGCGGTGGAGGGGGGTTAAAACTTTCCCGGACGAAGCTTTGGCATAATTAAAATGTTTATGCGTTTAATTGCAAATGAATTCGAGGCGAAAGTTGCCAGTTGCAAGTCCCTCACACACACACTCACGCGCACACACACAATGACAATTGGCGTATCAAATTTCGGCGAGTAAGCCGAGCAACTCGGCGATTTCCCGTCTTGCGAGTGGAAAAGGATAATTGCTTTGGGCTCGCTCAATCGGAAAATTGTCTTTAAAATTTAATCAACAAGAAGGGCGTCCCCAGCTGAAGACGCTGGCATGTGAGTGACACAACACCGCACCGCATTTGAAACGCAGAACCCAAGGAGATATGGTATGCTGCGTTAGTTTATGGGCACCATCGCTACTTATGACATCATTGGCCAGGAGAAGCACTGCCAGGATCATGGAAGTGGTTCCTCCAAACCGCAATTTTCTTCGTTCCACACAGTTGCTCCGGCTGAAACGGAAAGGTCCAACTAAGTTGATACTGGCTAGCCGCAGGACTCTCACCGCTGACGCCTCCTCCGCTTCTGGCGAGGACATTAAACAGCTTCATTACCTGCAAATTTCTAAATCAAATACGAAGGCAAACCACAGGCTGAGCTCCAATGCCAAAAACTGGTTGCTCCGGAGTCTGAAACTGAAGCCCAAGAATTGATTAGCCAGCAGCAGTGACAATTTGCGGGCTGAATGGGTTCTCGGTTCTCGGTTCTCGGTTCTGGATTCAGGATTCTGGATTCTGGAGCATGACCATTGCAGAAGTGCGAGTATAAACGATGTTTGCTCCCGAAATTTGCTGACAGGACGAAAATGTTGCGGTTAATGTCTGGGCGGGGTCCTTCAGATAGGATTTCGTTGAGTTGACTTGGGCTCATATGTGGGTAGTGAAGATGGCAGATGGATATTACGGATGGCTTTCGGAGCACATTTACTTGGCCCAGCACTTGCTTAGTTGCCGAGGAAAACATTGTGGTTGCCCGGCAGCCAAGTGTCGAATAAAACGGCAGTCTCACTTTCCCCGGGAAACTCATAAAATCGGTTTCATCTGTTTACGATTTGTTTCAGATTTCCGTCGGGTGGTGCGGTTTACCCCTATTCGAAGGCTTGGATATAGTTAGCTGTGTATTAATACCAATTCTTTAATCAATTTATTTATTCAGGTGAAGTTCATATAACAAAAAATGGAAATACATTTACTTTCTAAGAGTCGTTTTCCGCACTTTTCGTCTAAGCCTTGCTGAGCTCCTTATTCAGTTTCCAGTCTATCTGCATTCCAACTTAAAAATGTTAATTTCTTGCAAATGATGTTGAAAAAATTCGAAAAATTAATAACAAATTACTTTATCACTCGTTAGCAGTGGCAATAAGCTGCCTAAATCAGTTGTTTTATTAGCTGTACGTATTTTTTTATGATGATAATATCGAACTTTTGGATTAAAGTCCGTTTGCATTAGGTATATTTAGCCAAATATGGAACGCTGTTCTTCCATACAACTCGCAATCGAACGAGATAAGTAAAGAGGAAAACGGCAGGACCCTAATTACTCGTTGAGTAGGCAGTCCCAACTAGTTAGCATTCACCCCGAAAGCGATTGCGTTTTGTCTGGCAGATGTCTTCAGATGTTCGCAGAACTCCTTTTATCCTTGTCCCAGGAGCATCGCAGTGAGCAAGAGCCTTCTTCTGCTCACTTACTGTTTTACATTTGAATGGCTCGGCAGGTCTCCAATCAGTCTCGCCTGGAGGCATTCTTCTAGTTCATTTAATGCAATTTGCTGTCATCGTCACCCAATGAACCTCCTCGCCGCTTCCCGCTCCGCAGTCGGCGATAGGATCTGTATTGTATATTGTCCTCGGCTCCCAGGTGGCTGGGTATCCTGGTAAGGACATCACACCAGCACCACTCCGCCCATGAGCTGCTGTTATCTCTCGGCTGCAACAAGCCAACAAGCAACAATGTCGCAACCAACGAGGAAGAACAACAGATCTGCAGAGATATTTTGAATGTACAAGCACACTTTGCAAGGCAGATATATGTACGTATATATTATATATAAGGTGCGTTTATGTGTCTGATGTAGCTGGGACCAGGAGCGAAGAGCACCTGCCCAGGAGAAGTTGGAAAAAAGGAAGATAAGGAAACGTCTTGAAATGAATTCATCCCCGGGGACTTTAGACAGCGCCAAAAATTTGTTTACGGCTTTTTCTTAGGGCCTAAAGAATAATTACATCCCTGGTCGGTTCATCTGATGACACACAAATAGCCGAATGTTAATGAAAGGCCCCTGTTTCTATTTGGAATGCTGCGTAAATAAAAGCGCTGTGAAATAAAATATGTAAATATCATTTGCAATGTCTTTAATGTGCACGTTCTTAATGAGTTTTTTAGCCCACCACCAGCCACTCAAAGTGGCGCCCTCTCTGGGTGAACATAAAAAAGCTAATATGGCAAATATTTGATTTCTGTTTTCCCATCTTCCATTTGCAGGCACAAAAAATCAAAAAAATACCGCGAGGGAAGGACGAGAGCAAGACGCCAAGGTAACTGCAACCGGAATTAACACAAAAGGTAAATGTAGCCTCGAAACTTTCGTGGTGCGGCCACCTTGGCCATCCGACCACTTAAGGCCCCACAAAACTGTCGTGCACTTCAGCGATGCTCCAGCTAAGCCACTTATTTCAGTTGGCCAAGAGGTGGTTGGCCAGATCGAAGTGGCTATACCCTTACTTTGCGCTCAGTGGCACCCTCTATTTCGTGACCTGCTTGGATAAATCAGTTCGTAGGCGGCTATAATATCAAACAGCCAGAATTTTAGCTAATTTGCAGCTAATGTGAGTAGAGTGAATAGCTTGCATAAATGAGTATTCACCTGCACTTTCGAGAGTGTGTATTCGCACAGCTCCATGAACTTCTGCCCAATTTTTGCCCGCCTTGCGCCCCGCATCCTTGATCCTTCAGCCTGGCCAACTATCTGTAGCGTCTGTCAGGGGCGCTGGTCGAGATTCAGACGCTTAACGAGCTGCACTTCGCGATGGGGAAACTATTTTGCCGCTCGCCGTTTGCGCTCGTCTCCTTTACCTGCTGTATGCTAAGTGAAATTTAATGCTGTGGAAAATTGTAAGATCTCAGTACTAATATTTATTTTCATATTTTTGTGCTGAGCCAACTGAGCTGTGGATTCGGAATGCAATGAAGTGGCTCGCTCTGTGCGCAATAATTTAATTTGCAATTTAGCCAATGCTGACCGAATTTTCTCCACCGAATATTGCAGCAAACTCATCAGACACATACATACGCGCATGTATGTGTACAATACGTACGTATAGATGAAATTAGTTTTTTGGTTAGCTACTATTGTTGTGCGAGAATTCGTGTCTGTGGGCAAAACTAAATTGCGAAATGATATTACCACAATATTATTACCAGGTTTTTCAATTTTTGGGCAAAGCAGTTTGGGCACGTGGAGAAGGCATAAAGTACACAAAACCGAAATGGCCAAATGATCGCGCGGCTCTCAGCTTCTGCAAATTTAAACAAACAGGCGAACGTGTTGGATGGGGTTTTCCTCGCTTTTCCATGGGTTTTTCCGTGGGTTTTTCGTGGGTTTTTCGTGGGTTTTTCCCCAAAAATGCCAAAATGTGGAGTTGCCCTTTTGCCCAGCGAACGGAGGCGTGGCTGGTGGGACAAACGGAGACGGCTAATGGCTAATGGCCCGTGGAAACGTGCCTGACTGCGCTGATTTGATTTCTCGGGGCCCAAAAATTTTCCAGCCCCTTCCCTGCCCTTCCCAGACATTTGCTGATGAAATGAGCAAACATTTTTATGAACAGAAGCCGTTGCTCGATAGCCGAATTCGTTTTCATTTCTATTTTGATGGAATAAAGGTCGCCGTTGGGTGCGGCTATGAATCAGATTGCATTTTCAACAAGTCGCACCCAGAACCAAAAATGAAAAAAACACAACCAATTTGGCCACCACAGAATTTTCCATTGAGCCAAAGGTTCCAGGTCCTTTGCATGTTCATTAAGGCTGCCCGCTGCAAAATTGCAAGGTGCATGATGCATTTTATATTTTACAAATGCATTACGTATACGCCGTGTATCCGCGATGCAATCACGCCGAAAATTCGTTTCCATATATTACACACAGCCACACGTACACGCGATGTGTGCGTGCATGTATGCGTGTGGGTGTGTGTGGGTGTTTGCTTGTATTCTGTGTGCTTATAATATTTGTGTGTGTACTCGAGTGGGCGGTGGGCGGTGGGCGGAGGGCGGAGGGAGTGGCTCTTCAGCGAGGATGGTTAAAATGCTTTTGATTGTTTGCCCCTGCCAGTTATTTATATTTGTATTGACTGCATTTTTGGTTTATGCTGCGAAAGCTTGGCGCTGGGTGCTTTTCGAGTGGGTGGTGCATAGCCGGTGGGCCAAAATCGCCACAGAGAGGGGCATGTGGGCTGTGGGCTGTGGGTGCTGGTTTCACTGGGTCATGCCACTCTATATTTCTGTGGGCATTGCGGCAGCTCAATTTCGTTAGCTGAGCTTGCTATAAAAATGTTTCATACGCCCAGCGTTCACTGGTGGCTCTTCTTTGGGTGGTATACATACATATGAATGTGTATGTTTGTACATATATTTGGTAGGCAAGAAAAAAAAATACAAATTTTGCAAATGCCAATTTTTGTTGCCGTTTGTGTTGGCGTGCATTGTGCATTTGTGTTGCTGTTGCTGTTGCTTTTGCTGTTGCATTTCCCATGCTCCTTTTTTGGCCAGTTTATAACATTTTGCAATGCTGCTGTTGTTCGGGTTTTTGGCAAATTGGTTTTACAGGCTGAAAAAGAGGGACTAAAACAACAAAAATAGCAACTACTACTAGCCTTAGGCTAGAAAACTGCGTCGAACACTCAGTTGTTATTGTTGTGATTGCTGGCAAAATATTTATTCCCCCTTTTTTGCATCTGTTATAGCATATTGTGATTCACCATCACTCTGCGAACTCTCCCCCTCTATACACTCCCCCCTTTTTGCCAGCACATTTTGCCCGTTTTCCATCCGATTTTCCTGGCATCGTATCATTGTTAACCATACGATTTTCGCACTTCCTACTTACAAAATGAAACACATGTCCTGAACGGATATGAGAAAGCAAAACCAAAAAAAAAAATATATATGCATGTAAATTACAAAATTGTATTGCCCTTTTTCAGTAGAGTAATATCTAATTTCCAAGCTGAACTTAACTAAGCTGAACGAAAATTAAAATCAAAACTAACAGCAATTTTAAATGTAATTTCAATATGTTTCCGTACAGAGTTATTTAATTGCCAAGGAGCATGGGAGCTAAATTCGATAAGTATGTGACTTTTATTTCAAATAGTTAGTTGGAAGACATTGACAAGCAAACCCCAAAGGAATATCCTTTCGCTAGTACGCCACACTGCAGAAGTAGGAAAAGTTTTTATTTGGGGAAAGGGAACTGTGTATTTTACAGATATATGTATTTTCAAGTGAAAATTCGTAAAATTCTTAAAATTCCAGAATTACTCGCTCTGTGCGAGCTGTGGGAAAAGTAAGCCGCAGAATAAATAAACAGACCGCAAAGAACAATTTAAGACGGGGAAAACTGGGAACCGCAACGAATTGGAAAAAGTCAAAAGCGAGAGATGTAAGTGTCTATAGATACATATAGTACATCTATATCTATACATCCGTGTGCGGGAAATACTCGCTTATACATGTGTATGCTAGTGCATGTGGCACTGGCACTGTGGGTGTGTGGGAATACTTCCAAATGACAAACATTTCAATTAAATTCCAATTTGAATAAATTCCTAGCAACCAAAACAAACTCCATCTTCCTTCTGCCTTCGTAGCAGAAAATGGTGAAATAAAATAAAATAAAATGAGAAAAAGAGCGAATGAAACGTAACAAGCAGAAAATTACATCAGCGACTGTCCGAAAGTCGAACGAAAATGCCAAAAACAGCAGAAGGACATCCAGGGCACCGAGACTCAGGGATCCTGGCATTCTGGGAACTCAAGGACCCCAGCCAAGTAGTGAAAACAGAGAAACGCACCAGCATCAGAAACTAATTAAGAGAATTGCAATTGACAATGCCAAGGGATGGACGGGGGGGAAGTCGGCTGCCAGTGGCATAATGAGCTGCGGATTCGACTTGAGTCACTGCATCTGCACCCGCTGGCCGAATCGGAGCAAAATCAGCGCTTAAGGAAATGAAAATCTGTTAATTTTGTCGTTTTGCGATGATCGACGGCGCGATGCTCCCTTCTGGCATTATATGGGAATAAAAATATTGGGAATATTCAGTAGGAGAAAGAAGAAAATAGGAGCTCTATTCAATAGTTAAAAATATCTCATGTCCAAGGGGCAGGTAAATATATGTTTTGGGTACAGATTTAGTGCTTTAAGATACCCAAATAGCTTATGTGCTCCACTCACCAGCCATAAATACTACAAAAGCAGAAGCCACTGGCAGGAAAAGAGATGGCAATAGCAGCAGCGACAGAGAGAGAGATAGATAGATAGATAGAGAGAGAGAGACAGCCAAAGATAGAGGCCTTCTATCGACCTCAATTCACGGGCTCTGGCTTCAAATGAAATTGTAATTTTATACAAATCGCAGTGGCAATCGCCAGTCGAAAAGGGCAAGACGGGCGGAAGACTTGTGGAAAGGCGGATGGGCGGGGTAAATGGGGAAGCGGGGAGCGGGGAAGAGGGGGAGTGGCACCGCCGCCATACGTGCCTTGGCTCCATAGAACATAGCCCTGATGGCCTTACCACCGCCTCCTCTCCGAGTTCGCCATCTCAGCTTTCTACTTTCTACTTGCTCCTGTTCTCAGGTTCTCCCCATTGGAACGTGACAAACGAAATCTCCTATTTCCTATTTCTACCTTTAATTCCGGCGGCTCTGCTCCACCTGCAACACCTTACACCGCTTCCTCTGATGACCGCAATTTGTAGTCATTGAGTGTGCCAAGGAGCAGGCGACCTGGAGAACCAGATTTCCAGCACAGCCAGAAATGAGAAAAATCCTTGGGCGAGCAAGGGGCGGGCGATGGACACGAAAACGAGCCACTTGTGTTGTTCACTTAAATAGTTGCAAGTTAATTAAGTTAAAATATGGCCGGGCACTGCCAGCAGGAGGAGATCGAGCCGAAAGGCGGATGCCGGATGGCACCAAGTGAAGAGTGTCTATTAAACGAAAGTGCACAACTCGAAAGACAAACTCGGCAACAGGGGGCGTATGTGTGTCTCGTCCTTGCCCGTCGCCTATTAGCCAAGATGTCCTTAAGCTGGGTGCGTGTGTGTAGTCTGCATAAGACAAATCAGAAGGCGTCAACTAAAGATGATTGAAATGGAAACTGGGGAACAGAAGGACTCCAGATGAAGTGGGGTGCATGGAGCAAAGGCCAAACTTTTGCACTAGTTTTATATGCTCCAGTTGAGTCGAAAGTAATCAACTTATTAAGGCCCTCGGACGAAACTTCTACGTTTCACAGCCATTGAACAAATATGGCTTGTTTATATTCATAAATGTATAAGAAACA